ATTGTTTATGCAATCAGGGATCAAATATGTAGAAATAGTAAAATGACAAAATAAACAGGAAGTGTGGATATGAAAATATGGTAGTGTAGACAGGGATTAAGAAAACTTAAAATAACATGAATAAACAGGAAGTTTAGATAAGAAAGGCGATGGGATGGTCATTATTAAAAAAATTTACCTGTTATTTTTATTAATTTAACCTCTAACCAGAAATTGTTCTGGAACTTTCCCATCCATTTGATATAAATACACGAATGTACAGCCTAGATGATGACTTCGTCGAAAAGAAAATTTTCTTCGCTGCAACTGTCTTTTTATTCCCTATGATCAAATGTGTATATTCCGTGATTTGAAAACTATAAAACTCAAGTTTCGAAGTCGTGTGATTATAATTGATGATATGATTGTGAACAATAATAAATTGTGTTCAAAACGTCATCCAGTAAATAATACTGTTTCACTGACTGTGTGATACATCTAATAAACAAACTAATATGGAATTATCAGTAACTTTCAATTTGTGTGGTTTTATTATCTTTTTTTTTTCTTCAATTTAATGCGTCTACATATTCACAAAAGGAGCTAAATTTTTTGCAGTATGTACAAAAATCTGAAATTCTATTCTGTATAATTTATTATATTTTTGTTTGGAATAAAGTGACTATCATTATTAGTATTATTATTAATTAGTCTTCTTTTTCTGTCGTTTTGTTCTTTCGTTAAAAATTCAGGAGTGTTCATCCACGGGAATGGAATCTCCATCATCCCATCCCGATCATGATTCTAATTCCCTGATACCTAATGTGACGTGTTCCAGTCTACTTAGTGACAATGAGGCTACACTGGACAACACCAATGATATATCCTCTAAACCACAAGTAGATGATGATGGTAGAAACTCAGAAATAATGAATCGCCACCAGCTGAATTCACCTCGTGTTACTACTCCTTTATCATCAAATAAATGTTGTTCTATTGAATGCTGGAATACCAATGACAATAAATCGGTTAATTGTGAAGATAATAATACTAATAATAATGACGATATTATTGAGGAGAATAATACCAATTTAGAAGATTATCAGTTATCGAATACTGTTCAGTTATCTTCTAACGAATCAAATGGTCAAGTTAATAAAAGCAGTGGCTTGTCAACTGCTAGTGAACGTCTAAGGCATAATTCCTCACCCAGTAATTCAGAAGAAATCAACTGTCAAACGGCGTCAGCATTGAAAGGTATTCTCAAGCACTGTTCAGTATCAGGTAAGTAGTGTATTATCACATTATGCATAAAAATTTTCTATTTTGATAAATCACACTGTGTTTGTTATACAGTAATATCAACTGATGACCACGTTTCGAGCACAAACTATTACTGCTCATAATCATATCAAGGCACTACTCACACAACTTTTTGCTTCATTTATATACATGAGTAAAAATTGATGATTAGACATTTGAATAAAATCAATATAAGATAAAGTACATTCGGAAATAATAATATTAGTGTTATCAATAAAATACAGTCAGATGGGAAATAAGATGTTTTTTTACAGTAAAAATAAGTAACTTGTTAGAATGTTATAATGTATGTGAATTGAAATACATTTTAACATTATTTATTATCCTGCTCTGATTTGACTGGTGGTAATAATATCTTCCATATCTCTGCTATTTGCGTTTAGTGTCTTCTATTCCTTGTGTTTGGTGTAGACTCGTTGAACCAATTAGGACTCAGTAATCAATCTCTCTACATCTCCACCTACCTGTATCACTTTTTGAAATTTTGACTCTGTCCCACCCACTCTACTGTGTGTGTGTGTGTTTTATCCTTATATCAAGTAGCGTATTACTAATTAATTATTACTTTGAAGATACAGCATTCTGTTTTTGAAATGCGCTTAATAAGTAATTGGGCGAAGTTCAACAATAGCGTCTCATGGGTGGGAACGCTCCAGTGACCTTGAGCACATGCTAGTCGTTGGCTAATGGCAACTCCCATTATCAACGCTATTCACCAGCCTAGCAGCAAATTTCAGCCAGATCACGTTTTTAAGTACTGTTTGCACAATGTGTTAGGATTAGGGTTATAATTAGCATTAGGGTTAGAATTACGGTTTGGATAAGGGCTATGATTAGGGTTAGTGTTAGGGATAGATTTGTAGTTGGTGTCATTTATTCTAATTTGTTTTATTATCCACATTTTCCTGGCAAGTAATCGTCTATCCTCTTATTGGGAACCATAGTAATTCAACCGAGGGCTTTGGGGAAGACTGCACAACAGGATAAGAGAGATGAACGATTCACAAAAACAGTTCATCTTCAGTCACCTCGGTGAACACATGTACAGAAACTAGTCTAACTTAGCAACTGATACTCCTCATTATAACTGGGGCGCATTTTCAAGTAATGTCTGAGAGAGAGATAGCATGTTTAGTGTGTTTTCATGCATTTTCTTGTAAATATACGTCAATTTTTGTGCAAAAATTTCTCGTTCTTATGATTGGTTGGCTGAACGTCAGCTGTTCGTTCACATTCCTTGGGACGCTACTGTTGAACTTTGCCAGTAATTGTATAGATGTAGGATCTTACTTGATTTGTTAAATATTTTGATTAACAGAGAGTTTTGATCTATAAACCTAAAGAAAAATGAAGGACTGGTGTGGGGGGTGGGGGAGAGAATATCAATAGCCCAGATTGTGTTGGTTTTACGGCTGTAATTTTGCCTGACAATGAGATATCATCATCGCTCTTGCTGTAGGAGGAAGTTAAGTGAATGGAATGCATATATATGTATATATTGACTACATTCTGCTTTACCTGAGTCGAACTGGATTAGCCCTCTTGTGGATGTGATCTATGGTGGAAGCTTGACATCAGACCTCTCAGTGTGCTAATTTCTCTTTGAGTGATTCCATTTGTTCCACATGAAGTATTTTTAAGCTGGTTCGCTGTAATTAGTGTTGCAAAAGATTAGTAGGACATATTTACAACAACAGCACACATACATTGGTTGCCTTTAGAAGACCAACTCATGTGTATTCTGACGAACGACTGAATAAATCATGAGAAATAGTAGTGTTGTGGTGAGAGCTGTCTGCAAGACAAATTGTAGACAACAGTTTAGGTCAATGTTCTCGTACGGAGTCGGGGTCATGAGAAAAACAATAACAAAGCTTAACTTTGAGGAACTCACCAACCAATCACAGCAGGCTCAACGTGTGCAAATAAGTAATTCCATATTAGTTTGTTTATTAGATGTATCACACAGTAAAAACAGTAATATTTACTGGATGACAAAGTTTCGAAAAAAATTTATTGTTCATAATCATATCAATTGTAATCACACGACTTTGACACTTGAGTTTAATAGTTTTCTTTGTTCTCTCCTATTCGTCGTATGGGTAGTAGAATTTTCCAGATATCGGGGACATGTGATCAATCATTCCTATTACATGTATTTGCAGTTGATTGGATAAAAAAAGCTTCTGTTATCAATCTCTCCCTCCAACCTGCTGTTACATTAGATTTTAGACCTGTCATCTTATCCCATCCATCCTATTGTATGGTTGTGTGTAATTGCATGTAGTGCTATAGCTGAACTATTCTCCTGTAGAGCCTTTGAAACAAAACAATTTAGTTTATCTAATACCCTGCTGCTGTAATGGTTGTCAGGTCAAAATCATAGGTCAAACTAGTAGAACAGGGGCAGTGAGTCAGACTAGCCGAGCATAAAAACCTAGCAAAATCTAGATTGGTTGACCCGAATAAGATAAGAAATCTAGAGAATAGTTCAGCTATAGCACTCACCACATGCAATTACACACAACCATACAATAGGATGGATGGGATAAGATGACAGTTTTAAAATCTAATGTCACAGGGTATAGGGAGAGATTGATAACAGAAGCTTTGTTTATCGAATCAACTGCAAATACATGTAATAGGAATGATTCAACACCCGGCCCAGATATCTGGAAAATTCTACTACCCATACGACGAATAGGAGAGAACAAAGAAAACTATAAAACTCAAGTGTCAAAGTCGTGTGATTACAATTGATATGATTATGAACAATAAATTGTGTTCGAAACATTGTCATCCAGTAAATAATACTGTTTCACTGACTGTGTGATACATCTAATAAACAAACTAATATGAAATTACTTACTACCACAGTGCCCAAGTTTTACACATATATTAGTGTGCAAATAAGATTCGCAGATATATGGCTTAAATTTCTAAGAAACGATCACAAGCAGTACAGAATAACCTTCAGCAAGAAAACAACCAATCAGAAGACGTTGCTTCTCTCTTAACAATAACGATGGTAATAATGATGTACATAAAAATCTATAAATATCTCTTGATTTTCTCAATAAACGATCTGTTGCCGTGGCCCTTGTCTTCTGTCGTTACAGTGTTATCACTATATAAAGTCACATTCCAACATTTCCATTTTAATTAAAGTTGTTCAATTTAATTGAAATACTAATGCATCTATGACACATTTTATTTCCTTCATTGTACATTTACATATTTATTACGTTAACTTCCACTTATATTTTGGTCATCTTCTTTTCTTACTGACTTCTGATACAGAATGTAGTGGAGATGAAGTGAGCATTTCAGAAAGGAATGATTTACGTGTTGGTAGTGGTGGTGATGCTGCTGGACTAGCTTGTGACAATCAGGATGCAGTACTATCTGAAGATAACATACACCTTCAACAAACTTTATCGACTGACAAATTGTCAGTAGTGGAACCCAGTGGAAAAAGCGTGCAATATGATAATCATTTATCTCTATGCGGGCTACCGGTGAGATTTGTGAGTTTCTCGGAACATGTCGAGTTTTCTCCTGGAGACGCTGTGGAGGCATCACATAATGATTTGTGCAGTATTCAGTGAGTATGACTTTAATATTTGACATTATTATCCACGGTGTTTTCGTTTGGGGTTCGATTTCTGGCCAAAGACGCACTCCTCTACCTCGCTAAGCCAGTAATAAGGAATGGTAAAGAGGGAAGGGTGTGCACGAGGTTAGCAACCCCATCCGGTAAAAATAAACACCACTGCTACCGAAACTTCAAAGCTCTAGCTTGGAGTCCTGTTCCACTGGAGACGTTAAGGAAGAAAATAATAAATAATATAATCTACGTTTTGTTTGATTATGACAGTTATAATTATACAGGGAACATAATCTCTACTTTGTACAGCTGCACTTGTGTTTCAGTTACTCTAGGTTTAGTCAGAATTTATCGTAACTTCTTAGTCAGGAATAAATTTTAATATACAACCCTATACCCTTTGACAGCGTTGGTCGAGAGGTGATTTAGAAACTACTTCACTACTACGGGGTGCAGCCAACAATTATACATCTCATCCAACAGTTGTACGATAATGCTGCATGCCAAGTAATCCACAACGGGAAACTCACGGAATCCTTCGAAGTGAAGACGGGAGTAAGACAAGCTAGCTGGCTGCCTACTATCTCCAGTGGTTAGTTTCCTGATTGCGGTAGAATGGATAATGCGACAGGCAGCGAGAAGCTAGGAGACAGGCCTAAAATGGACCCACACAAAAAACTTCTCCGATGATATACGTCTGATTTCCCACAAACTGGAAGATATGCAAGTGAAAAGTAACAAGTTGGCAGAAAAACAACCAGAGAAGATAGGACTTCCTTCAGGTGAAAATAGAGAAAACAGAGGTGATGAAGATTCCTGGCCAACAGCAATTATTATTATTATTGTTCCCTTGGGTTCCTAGTGGAACATAGATCTCAACTGCACGTCTCCACTTGCTTCTGTCTTCTGCTGTACTTTTCACTTGCATCCATGTCATTCCATACTGTTTCAACTCTTCTTCACACGATCTCCTCCATGTCACCCTTGGACGTCCCACTCACCGCTTACCTTTCGGGTTCCACTCGAGCTCTGGCCTGACGCGCGATGTCACCCAGCGGCCTCCTCAGCGAATGTCCAATCCATCTCCACTTTCTCCTGCATATTTGTTGGGCGATTGGTTCTTGTCTTGTTTGTTCTCATAGTTTCTTGTTGGTGATTCTTTCCGGCCATCTGATCTTCAGTATAGAGCGAAGACAGCTATAACAGCAGACAACAATCATCCAGCATAAATGAAAGAAATGTAAAAAAAAAACAACCTCCTTTACCTTCCTACCTGGGAAGCATAGTTTCAACTTCAGGCAGATTGAACTGATAAGGATATCAAAGAGAGGATCGCAAAAGCAAGACAAGCTTT